GGGTCTAACAGGAGGCAGGGTCATCAGGGCCCTGGGAGCCTGGCTGCCTTCCTTCTGTCTCCTGCTCACCGCACCCCAGTCCTAAGCAGGCTCCAAACTATGATTTGCACTTTTTTCCCCTGTGTCGGATCAATGGAAGAGTGTATGTTTCCCGATGTGTTTTCTTCATCCCGAAGAATTGATCCTTTTTTATTTTCTTCCCCAAAACTAAATAGCCTTTTGCTAGAATGGAACTCTTACATGACATCGGGGGTGGGGACGGCCCTGGGCTGAGAATATGTGCTGCATGGACCTGGCAGTGGAGTAGCCTCCTGACGGGCCAGGTGCTCAACACATTCCCAAACCAGGCCTCTGCACTTGCACACCTGCCATGTGGAGTGACCTGCCGGCCTCTTGGAGCTGCCTCAGGATGTGCGAGCAGGTGGTGTTTGGCCGGTTGTGTTGGGGGGTGGGGGGGGTGCCCCTGATGATCCCCAGAATCCCCTGGAGTGGTGTCAGGGCCGTGCTGGGATGGGCACATCGCCCCAGAGCCCATCTCCCACAACCCCCAGAACAGGGAAAGCACCAGGAAGGAGCCATCCAGCAGGGTGACTGAGTGACCTGGCAGTGTGACCAGCATCTGCCTCTCCTGGTGACCATCAGGCAGCCTGGAACCAGGCATAGTTTTGGATGGACAGGAAGGGTAGGCCTGCCCTGCAAAGGCACCCAGGAACTAGAGGGTGTACAGGGTGGTACCGAAGCCAGAGACGGCTACACGGGAGGTTGCAAGCCACCTAGGAGAGCAGGCTTGAGGACGGATCCTTTCAGGACATGACCCCAAGGTGCGAGAGCACGGGGAAGGCAGCCTCCCCAAGGTGGACAGCCCTGCCCTGAACCCCCCACTCCCATGGTGCCCCTCACACAGGCCTCTGGCTCCAGCCAGGCAGTGGCTGGGAGTGTCCAGTCCTGACTTGTCCCACCTGCTGTGGCCTGCGGATGGGCAGGAGTGGTCTCAAGCTTCTGCTTGAGGGTTGTTCGTGGATATCCAAGAAGCTCCTAGTCGTGTGTCTCCCACAGAGGGGGCCTGGCCTTGCCTCTTACTGCCCGCCCCCCACCTCCTTGCTGAGCACGTGCTATCTCTTTGTTCGTTGGATATTTGCCCACTACAGGCCAGGACCTGGTTTGGTGCTAGAATAGTGCCTGGTCTACAGGTAAGTGAGGGTCCTTCTTGCTGAGGGGCCAGGCCTTCAGGAGCAGGGAAGTACATCAGGGAGGAAGAGTGGAGAGGGCACTGCAGGCCATGGGACCAGCCTGGTACAGAAAGCACCTGCCTGAGCAGGGTGCCCCCAACCAATGGGCTTAGCTGTAATGCCAGCCTCATGCCATCCCGAGAAGCCAGGAAAAGTCTGAGCCAGGGCTGGTGCTTCCAGGACACTGGTCCTTAGGGACCCAGTGCCCAGACCATGAGTCTGCCCCAGAGAGCAGGGAGAGTAGCCCGATAGCAAAGGACTCCAGCCTGGCCATATGTTTCCCACAGGCAGGGATCCTGAGACCAAGGAGGCCAGGGGGACCCAGATGGTCCTTCTCTTAAGGCTGGGCCCCCAGGCCAATCCCCTCCCCCTCAGGCTCACCTGCAGCCCTCCTCACAGGGCCTCCAGGGTGGTGGTGGGGAGGGGAGGGGGCTGCCTGGCCTACAGAGCACTACCCTACGTGCTTAACACTCTCTGCTAGATGCCCCTGCCCGAGTGTCCCTTCACCTCATGGTGGCCCACCCAGAGGAAAGGCCTGGAAGGGGTGGACAGTCCCCTGGGATAGGAGAGAGCCAGCCTGACACCTGACCCCTCTGAGGGCAGCCCCAGGCCCTCCCTGCACCCTGCTCCCCCTGTCCTGCTCCTGTCCTGTAGATACCAATCAGCAAGGAAGCCAGCAGCCCTCCCAGCCCACCTAAGCAGCCGCTTTAGGCTCCTCGGCCAGGCCCTCAGGGAACAGCCCCATGAGAAGAGGTCGGACACAGGCAGGCAGGCAGAGCACTAGACCAGACACCCACCAAGTCTGCTTCATGAGTGCGTGCCCAGCCACAGCGAACCAAGTCCTGCACCAGCGGTGTGGGATTCCGGCTGCTGTCCCTGCTCCCCAGGTCCAGGGGGAAGTAGGAGGAGCCTTTCGAGGTGCTCACCCCTGCCTGCCATAGTGTAGGGGGCTGGACGCTGGGACAAAGAAGCTGTGACCATGCCAGCCAGGCTGTGAGACCTGAGGAAGGGCGAGAGTGGCTCATGGCTTAGGTAGCCAGGGAATGCTCTGTCCTCTGGGAGCTGGAAGCCAACAGTGGGGAGGCCAGGGCTGCTCAGTGGCCCAATCTTTGTCCCTGTCCCAGGAGCTGTCACTCCTGCCTTGTCAAGGCTGGGGTGCGGGCGGGGGTGGGGCTTTACCTGCTGGCGAAGGGGAAGGAAGGGCTCAGTGGGAAAGTGGGAGAGTAGAAGGGTTGCGGGGTGATGGCCATCTAGGCCCAAATAAAAAGGAAGAGGGGAGTGAGGGGAGGAAGGGAACATGAGGAGGCAGGATGCGGGGGGGAGGAGCTGCAGGGCGCTGGAGGCAGGGCCTGGGGGGCTGGGAGCTGGTGGCCCGATGCTGGATGCTGACTAACGGCCTGGCTGGCGGCCATAGGCTCAGCCTATACCCCTCAGGCCCATCAGGCCTTGGCTCAAGGGAGGCCAGTTCCCAGCCCCTGCCTCATGCCAGGGAAGGTGTGGCCTGGCAGAAGGGCATGGTGCCAGCACACCGCTCTGTCCGCTTTGGTCTTAGCTGGTTGGTTTGGTTTTGGGTCCTGACCATGTTTCTGAGCACCACTCCAATAAGTAGTGGGAAGAGCCCATGAGCCCACCTCTTAAAGTCCTGTGATAGTGTTTGATTGAGGGGGCTGGGGCCTCACGGTCCCCCGTGTTGCCCCTACCGTGTCAGGCACACAGTGGTCCCAGGTGGTGGGCCAGCCACACCAGCGTCCACGGGGGGCTGAGCGGTTTCCTGTCAGTACCAGCCTGGCCCTACCCATGCAGTTGTTCTAGAGAAGCCCCTGCCGGTCCCCTGGTGGGGGTGGCGAGCTGCCTCGGCACGGGTCCCCTGCCAGGTGTCCCAGGGTGCAGGAGGGAGGGGCCCTGTCTTGCAGGCTGGGTGAGGGTTGTAACCTGCAGCCCTCCTGTGTCCCCACAGACGGAGAAGAGCTGGCCGGAGGGGCAGAGGGCACGGGCTTCACGCCCCAGGAGCCACTGCACGGTGAGCAGGTGAAGACTGTTCCTGACAGCCCCTCAGCAGAGCCGCACTGCTGGCCCCCAGAGGCTGCGCCCCGGACAGGCGCCGAGCCCACCTGCAGCCAGGGTAAGATGAGCTGGGAGCAGCCAGGGTGGGCCTCACCTGGAAGGGTGGAGGGCGTCACAGGGTGACCAGCTGGCAGAGCAGGGCCCGGGGAGGACCCAGTCATGCTAAAGCACAGCGGAGAGGCAGCTGGGCAGGGAGGCCCAGAGTGGAGACCCCCTCGTTCTACCTCTGGCTCCACGGAGACTAGCGAGGGCGGGTGGCCAGCCCAAGCTGAGGCCGCTGAGTCCCAGAGAGGAGGCCCCCAGACAGGGCCAAGAGAGGGGTTGGCATGTGGGGGGAGGAGTCTGGGGCAGAGGGGTGGCCAGCCTGGCCAGACAGTTGTCCATGTCCTAGTCATCCCTGTGGATAGAGCCCTTTCCCAACCAGCCAGCCCCCTGGGGACTCCTCAGGGTCCGGGATCTCACTGACCCTGCTCAGGACTGTAGGGCCTGGTACCAGCCAGAGGAAGCCAAGCATGGGTTTTTAAAGCCATGGGACCTTGGAGGAATGTGGAGACCAGCCAGGCCGACCCGGCGGCCCCTAGCTCTTGCAGCTTCACGGAGGCTGCCAGCCCCGGAAGTGCTGCCTCCAGCCTACTGGGAGATGCAGCCCTGGAGTGGGAGTGGAAGTGAAGAAGTGAATGCCCTGGCGCTAGCTGAGTGACTGGCGACGGGCCCCGGTATCCTCCCTGTGGTGTGGACACCAGTAGGACAAGCATCCTAGGATTGTTGCAGGGATGCGGCCGTTAATGTGCACGGCGTCTGGAGGGCCTGCTCCAGGGGCTTGCCTGTATCCCAGGCCCTAGACTCCCAGAGTGCACTGTGCTCCTTGGGCGGGGGCGGGGGGAGTCCCAGTCCCCAGACCTGGGCAGTCACAGAGGCAGACAAAGGAGGCCTGGAGCCTGCCAGCCAGCACAGACCAGAAGGCCAAGAGAAAGCACCCTCGGCCTGACGCAGCAGGAGGAGGCGTTCTGGGTGCCTCTGTTTTCCAGAGGGGAAACTGAGGCCCAAGCCAAGGAGGGGCAGGCAGGCCCAAGAGACTGTGAACAAGGCTCAGCTCCCACTGTCCACCCCACAGTCACCAGCTCCAAGGTGCCCAGTGGTGCAAGTGCCCAGTCATCCGAGGGCCCCCCCAACAAGGCAGAGCCCGGCCGGGCCAAGTCGCGCCTCCTCCCCAGCATGCCAAAGCTGGTCATCCCCTCGGCTGCCACCAAGTTCCCCCCTGAGATCACCGTCACGCCGCCCACCCCGACCCTGCTCTCGCCCAAAGGCAGTATCTCGGAGGAGACCAAGCAGAAGCTGAAGGTGACCACGGGTGCCGAGTGGGGGGCATGGGCGGGACGTGGGCTATAGGGGGACCTGGGGCCAGGCCTGGGCCACCCCTGACCAGTGCCCTGCCCGCTCTGTGTGCAGTCGGCCATCCTATCTGCCCAGTCAGCCGCCAACGTGAGGAAGGAGAGTCTGTGCCAGCCGGCCCTGGAGGTTCTGGAGACGTCAAGCCAGGAGTCCTCGCTGGAGAGTGAGACGGACGAGGATGATGACTACATGGACATCTAAAGTGTGGGGCCGTCCCTCCACCCCCTGGCCCGAGCCCCTCAGCCATTCGGGGCCCAGGCAGAGCACCATTCCCCACACAGACCCCAGTCCGCCCAGCCTCCCTCCCTTGCGGTATCCTCCCCTCCCGCCTGGGCCGTGGTCTGTCCCCACCACATGGGCTCCCGGAAGAGGCCGAGCTTGGCCACGTGAAGACAGCCGCAGTTCGCACAGCGGGGCTCGCAACCTTTTCTATGAGACGTTGACTTTGTATAACCGTGTCCACGCCCAGCCTAGGTGGCCGTGTCCACACCTTGATGCCCAGATGAGCCGGGCTTTGCCTGTGTCATAGTGGAGGGGTCATTTAGGGTTGGGCTCGCCCCACTCCCTTTTTCTGGTTTCTTTTCTAATAAAGATGGAACAGTTGTCTTTGCCTCTTTGTTCAACCCCGGGGGCTTGCTGTCCAGGGTTTCTGGGCCCTTCTCCCCATAGATCAGGGCCCAGCCCTTGGGCATCCCAGGAGCAGGCAGGGGCTGGGCAGGCGGTGAGTCAGTGTGGAGAAGTGAGCACAGGCCATGTAGGGCAGACCCTCTATGTGGGACTGGAGTCGGGCGTGGAAGGGGCCTCAAGAGCATCCCCGAAGGGCTCAGTGTCGGGGGGTGCCCCTCTGGAATATGGGCAGGGGTGGGTGGAGGAGGCTGCGGGGAGCAGGTCGTGCCAGGCCTCACCGAGAAACTGTCTTGTGATGGGCGCCCAATGCAGAGGCCCCTGAGAGGCAAGGTCAGTGTCAGGAAGCAGGAGGTGGGGCTGGCAGGGAAGGTACTTACACCCCAGCACGCTTGCCTTCCAATGAACTGGCCATGCAGTTGTGGGGCTCAGTGCAACATGTAACTGGGGCTCCTGTTCAAAAATTAATTTTCTAAAGGTGACAGCAGAGCATTATGCAAGCCCGCGATGCTGGCTCTGCTCTTTCAAGGCTCTGAGTACATCTGTTTTGGGGAGGCACAAGTTGCAGGGGCCGCAACCTGCCCTTTACACTGTCAAACCCCTCAGTGCCTTGGGGACCCAGCTGTCACCCCCCACAGCTCTGGGCTGGCCCTGCCCCCAGGGGTCTCCCTGAAAAGCTGTCCAGGATGGAGATGGGGACGCTCCTTGCTGCCCCGTGCCCCTCATGGGCTGGGCACTGCCAGGGTCCCCAGCCCAAGGCTGGCAGAGCCATCATGGGGACACAGCAGCACAGCAGCCTTGGGGAGGTCCTCACCAAAACGTCCCTAAATCCAGGTTCTTTGCTGGGCGAGGGCAGGGCAGGGGTAGCGGTTACTCAGTTGATGCCCCTCTCCCCAAATTCCTACCTTCTCTTCTTCTCAGACCGGAGTGCCCAGAAAGAGTTCTGGGAATAACGCAGCAGTCTCCCAGGGCTTCCTGGCTCTCAGACCCCCAAGGACACCTGGGACCCATCCTGGAATCATTCCTATCCTCTTCCTTTCCCTGACGTGCCACAAGGAGCACCCTCGCCCCAGGGCCTGGGATGAGCCCCAGCACTAGCCATCAGCACCCACCTAGAGAGGTGCCGTGAGCTCCCAGCAACCAAGTTGGGAGATGTAGCTCCTGACCACCCCAACTGGCTTCCCTGATGCCTATAGGAGCCTCCTTTCCAGAGAAACTGCAGGCCAGATGAGAAGGGGGGGTGCCCAGGGAAGGGAGGCTGGCCAGACCGCAGGAGCTGAGGAGGGTCGCTGGATGGCCCTAAGCTCATAGCCCCCACCAGCTTCAGTTCCCTTCGTCTGGGGATGTATCCCCTTTGGACGGACACCTTTAGAAGCTGCCTCTGGGGAGACAACCATCTGTCGGTCTGGACACCCAGCCCAGGTGGCAGGGTCCTAGTGAGTCCCAGGCCTGGGACGGGAGGGGGTCTCCAGGAAGCTGCCTGGGACCTAGCCCAGCACTGCAGCCTCTCCCAGTGATCCCGTCTATCCACACCGGGACCTCAGTTTCCTTCCTTGCACAGTGAGAAGGGAGAACAATGAAAAGATAATGCAAATTCTCTGAGTGACTGCCAGGGGTGGGCGGGGTTGGGTGGCTCTTCTCCCAGCCTCCCTGCCCTGTTTGGAGCCCCTGTTTCATAGGCCAGCCCCACTCCGGGGATTCCGGACCAGGGGGTTCTGGTCTCAGCCTCTAACCCCACTGTTAACCTGCCCTGGCCAGGCTCCCTCCCACAGCCTTCGCCCCCTCCCTCAGAAAGGGATCCCCTCCTCCCCTCCCTCCTTCAGTACCCACACAAGCCAGTGATCAGCAGGAAGTTACTTGCTCCCTCTCCCTGCCAGGCTTGGGGGAGGAATTGGGACTACCTGCTCCAGGCAGGGAAGCTGAGGCTGGGAGCTGGGCGCCCTGGGGGCTGAGGGCCCCCAGGGCGCTGGAATCCAGAGATTCTAAGGACCACCTGGCCTAACCCACTGGGCCAAGTCCCATCCCCAGCGGAGCCCCACCCTGGCCTCCCGCCCGGGGCTTGACCTGGGGTGGGATCCGGTGGTCTAGGTTGGGTTGTGGCCTCTGGACATCCAGATCCCCGAGTGCCAGAGAGGTCCAATAGCTGGAGGCTCGGACCCCCTCCCCCGCGTCCTGGGCTGGCGGGCCAGGAATGTGCTAACAGCGCAGGTTGGGCCCTACCGGCCCACGAGGGCACCTGTGGACTTTGAGAGGGGAACCGGGTGGGGTGGGGTGGGGTGGGGTGGGGCGGAGCAGGACGAGACGGGACGGGGCGGGGCGGCTGCGCTGTGTGCAGGGCGGGCGGGGCCAGGCCAGTGGGGAGTGAGCCGGCCTGCAGGCTCCCAGCCACTGCTGCGCTGCAGGCTGCAGACTCAGGCCGCACCATGAAGCTGCCCCTCCTGCTCTGGGCCCTGCTGCTGCTGCTGCTGGCGACAGTCCCAGGCCCAGGCCCCGGGCCTGCAGCAGGTACGCCCCGACCCTGCCCTTCTTGCCTCTGTCAGTCTGTCTGTCTGCCTGCTGCAGCCAGGCCCAGGGCGGACACCCCTCTGCTCAGCCTCCTCCATCTGTCAGGCCATCTGGGACTGTACTGGGGGTTGTGAGAAGAAATTCTGGGGATCCTAGGGTCCAGGGGCTGTTGGCAGGATGGAGAGTCAGCTGTGCCCACCCTAAACCCGCTAGGAGCTGGGAGGTGCTGGCTGCCTGGGAGGGAAGTGGTCTAGAGGAGAGTGGTGGGCTCAGGAGAGCCCTTGGCCTGCATGAGGATGTGCTCACACGTGGAGGGCCCCCAGTCCCACTAAGCCCCCGTCAGGCAAGAGGAAGGATTGTGGGTCCTTATTAGGGTGGGGCTGAACCTGAGAAATCTGGGGGAAAGCTCCTACTCCAGAGCCTCAGGCTGGACTGGGCTGGAAGTGACAGGCTCCCCAGCCCCCCACCCCACCCCTATCTCCCATCTTGGGTAAAAGCCACCACCCTTCTGCCACTTATCTCACTTACTGGCATCACTCAGCCTCCTCCCCCACTCCCTTGAGCCATCACATCCTCCCTCCGTCAATAAATGTTTATTGACGCTCTTGAGTGCCAAGCCCTGCACTGGGTGAAATGGGGTCACTGGGGTGGCTCAGGTCCAGTCCCAGCCCTTGACTGGCCCCCTTTGATAGGGTCACAGGGAAAGGCCAGGTGGGACGGGTGATCCTGCCTTGGCATCTGTACCCCAGCTCAGTCTCCACCCTCCAATCTGCCCAGCCACATCCCGCCGCAGAGGGATGGATTCCCTGAAAATATGGCCCTGTCATAGGTCCCCATGGTGGTAAGAGCCTAGGCCTGATGTCCACAGCCCCACACCAAACCAGCCTCTCCTTCACACTGGCCCTGCTGGGCCCTCTGCTGGAGATGTCCTTCCACTCCCCTCAGAGGAAGGGAGCACACCTTGCCCTCTCCCCTAAGGGTGGGGCTCCTTCGGGGGCCATGGTCGGTGAGCTGGTGCTGCCTGGCGAAGTGAGATGGAGCACGCCAAGCCCGGACATCAGCCCTTGCCAGGCCTCCAATGGGCCTCTTAGTAGCTAAGTCCCCAGACCCCAGACTGTCCTCCAGGCTGGGTCTATTGACCCTTCAGTGAATAGAGAAGGGTCCCCCAGCCCGTCAAGGGCTCAGCCACTGCTGGCCATCTGAGGCTGTGGTCTTCCGGGACTTGGTGGCAGAAGGTCATTCCTGCCCAGGGGGCTCCTCTTGATACTGCACACGTTTGTCTAGAGACATTTCCCCTTATCTCTTCTTGTTCTAGCTAATCATTCAGGCAACTGCTAGATCATTTGTACCAAGAATCCCTCCCCCACAGGCCCTGTGGGTTTCCACTGTGTTCCCTTGGTGGGTAGTGCGATCCCGGCTGGCATTCTCCTGGGGATGCTTCTCTCTAATGGGCTCCAGGAAAATAAATTCGAGGCCTGCCCGTGGGGCAGCCAGGCACTCAGGGCCCTCCCTCTCCTCCAGGTGCCAAGGGGACCTGCTCCCACCGCTGTGGAGACCGGGATGGGCTCTGCTCCTGCCACCCGACCTGCTCCGGCCTGAACACCTGCTGCTCGGACTTTCGGGACTTCTGCCTGGAAATCTCGCCCTACTCAGGCTCTATGATGGGTGGCAAGGACTTTGTAGTGCAGCACCTCAACTGGTTTAACCCCACTGATGGTGTGATCTGCAGGTGGGAGGCCCGAGGGGCTCCCTGCATGCTGGGGACCCAGGGACAGCTGGCTGGTTGGGTCCCCCAGGGAGGAGGTCAGGAGCCCAGGCCTCGGAGAGGGTCAGCCCACCCTGGCCCAGGCTTTCCTGCCACCTCCGGCCCCCCACAGGTTTAAAGAGAGCATCCAGACCCTCGGGCACGTGGACTCCTCTGGACATGTGCACTGTGTGTCACCCTTGCTGTATGAGACGGGCCGTATCCCCTTCACACTCTCGATGGACAATGGTCGCTCCTTCCCGCGTTCGGGCACCTGGCTGGCCGGTGAGCCCCAGCTTCCTGGGCCTCGGTTCCCCAACAGGGACTTTCCCTAGCGCTAATCTATGCACACCTTGCCTGCCAACCATGCCCTGCTTCTCTGGCTTAACCAGTCCCTTTGGAGGCGCGCCCGACCACAGGGGCGTGGGTTCTCCAGCTCCTCTCCCCACCCCCTGACGTCCACACAGGGGAGCCAGCCCAGAGGGAGTGGGGGCTTCAGGAGTCCCCAGCCAGGCCAGGGGACGGGGGAAGCCAGGTGGAGACCTGGGCAACAGAGGGCAGCCTCTCCCATGGCCTTTGTCCTTTCCTCACTTGAGGGTCTGGGGGAGTCATTGCTCTAATGGGACTGCCACGCTTTATCCTTGGGAGGCACCCCCAGCTCTTAGAGCCCCTGGGCCTCGGGCCTCCGCTCACCCCTCCCCTCCCACCCAGTGCACCCCAGCAAAGTGTC